ATATTACGTGCAGTCGCCCTTACAGTTGTTTTCCCCTTCTTCTGAATCAGGTGACTGTACTTCTGAACAGCGTTTCTGACCTAATGTTGTGATAGCTCATTGTAAACTGCAAAGTGTGAGGAGGGGGGGGCAAAGGAAATAGAAGAGACTTGATCTAGGTGCCACCCCTATCGAAAAGGCGGATTGAGTTGAGAACACTCTGTTTTCTGGGGTATAACGCGAACCCATGTAAGAGGCAGCTGTACGTTTTGAACGCGAAAATACTATAAAGAAAAAGGTAATGAGCTTGTATGGCAGCTGCTCGGGAGGGGGTCTTTTCTAGGGTTTCATAGATAACCAGACAACTGCCTCTTTTCGTAGGTTCGTCCTTCGTGTCCTTCTGCAAACGAGCGCTAGGTTTGATAGGTGGTAGTCGGTCGTCCTCCTTTGACTTCGCCGTCGATTTCTCACTTTCTGGAACAAGGAATCATTCTGTTCTGTTTCGCCAAAATCGCATTTTCATACTTTTTCTGGGTATGGAAGATATCCGAGTCACTTTCAACATAGGAGCTCTTGAGGTTCTTCTTCCTTTCCACTAGAGAAAAGATGAAGCTTTCAGGGGAAATCAGTCCTTTTGTGGCACGCTACACCCCGCCGCCCCATCTCTACTGAGAATCGCAGCGGTTCTTTGACGCGATTCAGCCTGAAGAATGGCTCCTAGGGGGCAGCTTATGCAGGAACCAGCTGTCCGTCCTCCATGACACATTTGATGTCAATTGATCGATCCAGGTAGGTAGGTTATCCTAGGTAGTAGTCATTAAGAGTTTCCACCCTCAAATACACTCCTTATCCCTGAGACGGAGTAGGCGTGGCATTTGAACATGGCATAGGATGGGTTACTCGTGGGATATTTCAATTTGAGACAACTGTCATCTTGTTCTGTGTGGGACAAGACATAATAACGACTACGGGCGGCACCGCCTATATTTCATATCTCGGACAGGGGAATGGGCGTGGCTGCGGACTTTCTTGGGGGTGGCAGCGGCTGCAATTTTGGTGGAATACTGCAGTTCTGGGACAAGTACAATCATGTCTTTGTTCAGCACAGAACATTATGACCAAATGGAATCATTTCACGAACAGTGCATCCTACGACGTGGGCAGGTGACGAACGCTACCACACTACTCCGTTTCTAGAACATGGAGTGGATGATGCCTGCGAAGCGGGTGCCTTTAACGAAGGAGGGGGGGGGGTGGACGTCCACCAGCCAGGCATGCGTAGTATTCGTAATTAGGTGACTGAACCAGTGCTGAGATGAAAACTACTAGTCTGATTCCTCCCGCCCCCCCCCCCCCTCCCCGCCCCAACGCACCAGGGCGCGCCAGGCCCAAACTTAGGTTATGCTGACGGACTTTGTTGTATTTGCTATTTTTAAATTATGTATGTTTATACATGCTAGCTTAGGTATACAAAAGAACTTACTGCTTTTTTGCGGATCATCCTCGATTCCAAGTAATCGTGGCAACCTCGTCGTGCTCACGGATTGCTCTCCTCATAACAGCTTAATATTTACCATCAGATCTCGGATCTTCTGGGATACTGTATGAGTTTTATTGTCTGACGCCAAACTATCCCACTAGAGAAGCCCTCTCTGGTAACCCACAGGCACCGTAACGCTTGCCGTCGCAGTTTGACGACGGAGGGGGGGGGACATTTTGTACTATTCATTGCTTCCCATAGTTCCGGTTTACATGTCTTACGCTGGCGAAACCTGTGAACTTGTGAAGCTGGACAAGGTTGCCATGCCATCGTGTTAAAACCTGTCAACTTGAGAAGAGGCTGTCTAGATAGGTCGACACGTCGATATGGAGTAGCAGAAAGTGCAAAATGCCCCCCGCCCCTGTCGTTCAATACGCCCCTGTCTACCAATTACGTTCCATACTTTTCAATTAAGTCCTGTGAAAAGATTGGACGTAAAGATGCGCTGGATTCATAGCAATAAAATTACTTTTCTCTTTCTCGTCGCTCCCGGTATAAGTCCGGAGATATTGGCCATACTAACTGAATGGTTTTGCTCGCTCCACAACTCTTGACCAGCTTTGTTTAGACGTTCTAAGCTGCCGCCAACCTGAAGAAGATCGTTTTTGTAAGCGTGCTGTTCTAGGAGACCAGAGCGATTGTTGTGCCCCTTATACCCTGCAATTACGCGGAGTTTTGGCAATAAAGCAACTCGTGATCTGTTTCTGAAGGGGTGGGGGATGAAAGGCGAGAAGCGTGCATGGCATTTGGCGCTCAGATGACTAAGCAGGAAGAAACGTCGGAAACGCGCTGAAGAAGACCCTAGTCCCTGAGGACTTCTAAGGGAGAGCTGAAGATCCGATGAGATTTTGAGTGACTAGACAAGAAGAACGAGAGAGCACACAAAGGAGCGAGACGACAGACATCGAAGAAAGCAAAATCGCTCGAGCTCAGGAAGCCTCAGCCACAAGCGGTAGGCGCTATGCCAGACAGCCGACAGCACTCCGCGCTACTGAAGGCTACATTTCGAAGATCTGTACCTCTTTTGAAGATCTGCTATGATGTTACCTGCGATAAGGACCTTTTCTTGTGAGCTGAGCAGGTCCGCAGCTGTAGAAGAGTTGCAATATCACCCTCAGTGAATGTATTGGAACGCTGTCGATGTCGAGCTACAGAGGACAATGGCACCAGAGCCATAATTGAGGCTTTACCGTAGATCAAGTTTGAGGAACAAGTTGGCTGCTTGTGGCTATGATCAGGCGCAGCTGGCCTTGTTGTGCGTCTGTGGAACGCTTGTCGAAGGCGGGCGGAGACATAAAGTGCACCCGGCTATTGCAGCCCTACAGCTCGATTTCCGCGCGCTTTCAAGCGGTGGAAGTGCTATTGCTCTAGAGCTAGGGACCTTAGGAGGGCCACTAGGGGACTTACTCTACCGTGTGTCTTTAGGTTACACTATAAGCTCAGTTATGTCCACCGGACGCTAGGGGTTCCGGTGGTGGGAGGGAAAGAGTCAAGAATGTCTTTTAGCAACCGAATTATGGAGGCGGAATAGCAAGATAAGAGGACTAGAGGCCCCAAACGATTTTTTAGACTCTCCCCTTAAATCCCGTCAGACGACACTCAAGCGAATTCGAACATATCGCACCAAGTAGGCCTGCTGAGTTCCACCAAAGGGCATTTCCTCACTGAAAGACCTCACAAGACGTTTTACTTACAATCAATTCAGAGCAGAAAGCAGTTAGAGAGCAAAATAACTTTGTGAATAGAGGCGTAAGCAACCGGAAAACTTGGCCCTCAGACGTCATCAATAGGGCTCCACCCACATGCATGAAAGAATAACGAAAACACTGGCGAATTTCTCACCTTGTCTTTTGAAAATCCACTCAAATTCACTGCTGATGTGTTTGGGCTTCTTGAAAGACCATCAAGTGGATAAGGAAGTCCGGTTACACTGCCATAGCCTTGTTTCCCTTTCAGGTATAGGTCCATGCTGTCACCAGAGTCCAGATAGACTGGCTTGGCTTCCCGTCACACGTACAAGCGAGGTCCATCTCTGGAAAAGTTCTGGGTGCAGGAGATCGGGTGGAGAAATGGACTTTGAGCTCAAATTAGCAAAAGTCCTGCA